AGAGAATGAGCATGAGCAGGGGGGAGGGGCAGGAGGACAGGGAATAGCAGACTCTGCTGAGCAGGGAGCTGGACTCAGGGCTTGATTCCAGGACCCCAAGATCACAACCTGAGCCAAAGTCAGTCCAACCAACTGAGCCACCCAGGTGCCCCTCTTAGTATGTTTTGAATGGAGGTATATCCTAATTCCTGTCATGGTCAGATTATATTTGTTTTTCTCAAATTTGAATAATATCAAGATATAAACTGATTTTTATCTATTGAAGTATTATAATTGAACTAAATTATGTATTGAAGCAAAAATGTTATCTTGACATATTTGTTATGTGGTGGACTTATAACCACATTGCTAACAAGTTTCACAGCTCTGTTTACTTTTTAAAACTGAAAATCTTGCATTGAGTAAATCTTCTTAAACTGTTCGAAAAGTGATAACATTTCTCTAAGCATGTGAAATATTTTACCTGGGTGTTATAGAGTTTATGAGTTTCTATCTTTAGCTAAAAGTGGAATTATCATGTCCATGAGTATTCAGCTTGACTGTATGTCTCATTTTTTGGCCAAAGTTCTATCTGGGGGGGCGCCTGGGTGGCTCAGTTGGTTGAGCGACTGCCTTCGGCTCAGGTCATGATCCTGGAGTCCCTGGATCGAGTCCCGCATCGGGCTCCCTGCTCAGTGGGGAGCCTGCTTCTCCCTCTGACCCTCCCCCATCTCATGTACTGTCTCTCGTTCTCTCAAATAAATAAATCTTTAAAAAAAAAAGTTCTATCTGGGGATGAGTGAAAACTAGTTATAAATGAAAACATTCAGAAAATGATAATACTAATACTGCTAAAGAATTTCTGATATACTAGTCTAAGATTATTTTGGTACTGTCTGTGATTGGAAAAATTTGCCAAATGCTGTTGGAGAGCAGGTATAAAATGAGTTTTTCTCTCTTTGACAAACATTTTCACCATCTATTAAGGCAGTGCTAACTGCAGTACCAAAAAGCCCCCAAATTCAGTGACAAAATGCATTAAAAGCTCATTTCTCACTATCTCACAGTTTAAGGTGAGTATTCCTCCTCAGGCAGCTTTTCTTCAGTAAGTAATTCAGGAATCCAGGGTACTTTATTTCATGCTGTTCCCAAGTTGTCTCCCACCAGCCATTCGGAAGGGGAAGAGAGCATGGAGGATCCTGTTTAGTGCACTTCCCTACTGCTCATGTTCCTTCAACTTGAACTTGGTTATATATCACACCTAACTTGGAAGGGAGCTGGGAAATCCAGTGTAGCTTTGTATGCAGGATAATGACCTGTTGGTCAATGGCTACCCAACAATGCCAAGAGAAAAATTGTTTTTTCAAATAAAATTTTTGAATAGTTAAAAACCTTTTTTTATTGGCTAAGTGATATACTGATATGAAGGGTTTGGGGGACATTTATGTATTTTGGTAAACAAATTATTCCCTCTGCCCCCATTATTCTCTCTTTCTTTCTTTTCTTCTTTTCTTTTTGGTAGTGGTAAGGTGTGTGGGATGGGGAGACCAGGTGTGGTAGATGTTTAGGGAAAGTTCATCTGAAAATTATTGTAATGATTTAATCACAGGGCTTGTCTTTTGAAAGGCTAATTAAGTTAAATAGTTTTTTTATTTGGGAGTGGTGTCATCGGTGTCCACGCTTGTGTGTCTGTTAATGTCTCTGTGTGAGAGATAGCAGTTTGGGTTTGGGGGTTATTAAGTTGGTTTTAAGAAATGTCATGATAAAATCAGAACTGTAGTTTGAAATAGTTCTTTTTTTAAAGTTTTAATTTTAATTCCCATATAGTTAACATACAGTGTTATATTAGTCTCAAGTGTCAAAATAGCTCTTTTGTGTGTGTGTATTGGGAGATGTCTAATTCAACTATAAGAATTTCATCGAATGGTAAATATGCATTTATTTCACTGAACTTAAATTAGCCTAAGGTAAGTGGTAAAATAGATTCTTATTATCTTAAATACCGACTTAATAAACAAATCTAAATTAAGGCACCATAAACTGACCTGGTGGTGGAAAAATAAGAACATAACATACTAATTGAATAGTAAGTTAGTTGCTTATCACATTGGAACAGAAACTAAACTTTTGAAAATATATCAATTACTTTCATCCATTTTTATATGGCAAATATTTTATGTATCAGTAACTGAGTGTATTTTTTACTTATCTGCCTAGTTACTGCCAGGGTCAGTGGAAGGATTCCTCCTCATATACATTGTTATCTTAAATAGATAAGCCATTTTCTTAGCCATGAGTTAAGGGAAAACAAGCCAAAGAATCAGTCCATATTCTTAGTTACTAGGGTCTGGACTATCCTAGTATGGGGGTAAAATAAAATAGTACAAAATTATGGATGTATAAATGATACCAAACTATGAACATGGCTTTATAATAACAATTAAAATAAGTAGCAGAGTCCATGGGATCTAAATTCTGTTAACTGAAAAAGGTACTTAAGTATGTGTATAAATTTGCCTATGAATATGACTGTATATTTTTTCTTTGTTTATTAAAATGAGTGTTCTTGGCATGGAGGAACTTCTTCACCTGGTGGTTCAGGCAAGCTAGATTTTCAGGTTAAAATTATATTATCAGAGGAAGATACTGTGGTGATTATAACCTCAAATCTTCTAGAAGGTGAGAATTGAAAATCTGGGCATATTACATTGGAAAACTTTTTAGCCTTTGAGGCAGATTCTTATTAGATACATGTTGGATGGTGTTATGTTTTTACTTTCTCAAAAGTCAGCCTTTGAAATGCTAAAATAATACACATAGTAGGTTTTTTCTCATTTGGCACTTCAGTGCCACTTTGAAATCATTTGTTCTACCAACATTGCAGTGTTTTAGTCCTAATTTTATTTTGAAAAATTTTAAACTTAAAAAAAGTTAAAAGAATTGTGCAATAAACACATAATATCCATCTCCCAGATCTGCCATTAAAAAAATTTTTTTTTGCACCCCTCCAACACTTTTTGGGGAGCTAGTTGAAAATAGGTTGTAGACATCATGAAACTTCATTGCTAAACACATCCCCTAAAACACACACTCCCTAAGAATATGTACATTTTCTTTTTCTTTTTTTTTTTTTTTTAAAGATTTTATTTATTTATTTGACAGAGACACAGCGAGGGAGGGAACACAAGCAGGGGGAGAGGGAGAGGAAGAAGCAGGCCTCCCATCAAGCAGGGAGCCCTGTGTGGGGCTCGATCCCAGGACCCCAGGATCATGACCCGAGCCGAAGGCAGACGCCCAACAACTGAGCCACCCAGGCGCCTCTGAATATGTACATTTTCATAAGTAGCTATAGTAGTGTTTCACCCCTAAAAAAATTAATTCAGCAATATCATTTACTATCCAGTCTGTAATAAAATTTCTCCAGTAGTCCTAAGAAAACCTTTTTTGCATTTGTTTATTATGTCTCTTTTAGTGTCTTAATTACCAGGCTCCCCTACCCTTAGTTATCAACTTTTTCTGTTTTTTTTCTTTAAATGACATTGCTGTTTTTTACTTGTCTAGGTCAGTGACTTATAGGATATTCTGCATTTTGTTGTGTCTGATTGTTTATTCATGATTAGATTCAGTGAACATATTTGGTCAATATTGTATAGGGAAAGCTGGGCATTCCTTACTGCATCACATCAGAGGCACATATCTTTCTACTACTGGTCGTGCTTAGCTTGATTACTTGGTAAATGAAGTGAGAATTACTGTATCTTTAGTGTGAAGGTACTGGTTTCCTTTATAATTAATAAATAATCTATGGAGTGATACTTTCAGAGACTCTGAATATCCTGTTACCTCATATCTTTCACCTAATGGTTTTAGTACCCATTATATGATCCTTGCCTAAATCACTTTATACATATGGGAGTTATAATGTGGTAACATTTTAAGTCTATCATTTCACATTTATTGATTAGAATTTTACAGTTTTTGCAGTCTTGACCTCTGATAAAAAACTAAAGTTTAAGTCAGAACTGTTAATATCAGTAAATGTAGGTTGTCCCGTAACCCCTCCCTCTTAACTGCTAGATTAAATTTGTGTTGTACTATCTAATTAGCATTTCCAAAGAAATAGGTCACTAGTATCCACTTTAGGTTCTAGATTTTCTTGAGAAACTACCTGCAGTATTTCTAATTATAATTCTTTGTACTATATCTTAAGCTACTTAAGGATTTTGCAGTGCTTCCCTTCTCACCCATGTCTTGGTATTTTATCTTGACAGTTCTCTTAATTATGGTAACTTGATTATATTATAAAATATGTTCATGAATAAGGAGAACCCTAGCAAGGGAGAAGTATGAAATTTGAGAGAGTGGAAAAAGCTTTTAAATGACTAAGCTAAAGTGGAACAGTTATCTAGAAATAGAACCAATTCAGTTACAGATAAATTAATCACTGCTTAATTATAAAGGGAAAACAAATGATGATAAAATAGTTACTGGCTTATAAAGCACTCACTTGAATTACGTTTTGAAGAAATTGAAATTCACTCTGCGTTTACTGTGCCATGGAGCATGTTTCTAGGTCACTTTTCCTTGAAGCCAGTTGGTATTCATTGAAGGAATTCAACTATGTAGAATATTATATTAGTCTAACTGTAGTTCAGCTGGAGGTGTACATTTGCAGCATAGGAAATTTAATGTGTTTGGAGGGAAAGGTATAAATTGCGAAATGAAGTAAATTGCAGTATTAACATACTTTATATATCTGAAGCAGGAAAGGTTGGGAAAGTTAAACCTAGAATGAAGAATGATTATTGTCCTTTTTTAGAATTCACAAATCATCTATATGACAAAAATCTAGAGACCAGTGATGTTTTATTGAGGGAGAACTTACGAACCTGCCAGCTTTTAAAATGAGGATGCTCAATAAGCATCTATGGCTTTCGTTAATTGTGACAGTTTTTCATTTATAAGATAATTAGTAATCTCTAAACATATGATAGTAATGATATTACTTCTTTGTGTTTTAGACTATCCCCATAAATATGGTCCACAGGGGGGCTGTGCAGATCATTCAGTATTTGAAAGGATGAGGAAGTACCAGATGACTGGTGTAGAGGAAGTAACACAGGTAAGGATTTTAATACTAGCTTGCATTTAAGAAATGGAAATGAACCTGGGCATGTGTTTCTGCATTAAAAATGTATATTCTAGAATTTCTGAAAGATTTATACCACTGTGGGGAAATAATTTATATTTTTTAATGTTCAAAAGGCCAGGTAACTTGCCTATAATAAAGACATGGTGCTGAGATTGGAATGTGTGACTCAAAAAACATGTGTGACTCAAAAAACATTAAGTCACATGTCCAAAATATACTCTGTCTTTCATGTTTTGTTGTCAAGTTATGAAAAATTTAGTCTGAACATGTGTTTTGTAGAAATTTAAGTATTTGTATTAGTATGAAAATTAGAGTGACCAAATTCCCCTGGTTTGCCTGGGACTTCTCGAGTTTAACACTAAAAATCATGTGTTCCTAAGCAAACTGAGATAGTTAGGCTCTATAATAAAAATCACAAGGCTTTTGATACACACACACACACACATCTATATATTTGTCTAATTAATTGATTTTTAAAGTAATCTCTATGTCCAGTGTGGGGCTCCAGCTCTGCTTTTGATATATTAAGTTTTTTCACCATTTGACTATTGTTTTTTTACTCTTTTTTTGACCTTTTTAAAAATAGTTAATTCAAAGGGCGCCTGGGTGGCTCAGTCATTAAGCGTCTGCCTTCGGCTCGGGTCATGATCTCAGGGTCCTGGGATCGAGCCCCGCATCGGACTCCCTGCTTGGCAGGAAGTCTGCTTCTCCCTCTTCCTCTGCTGCTCCCCTGCTTGTGTTCCCTCTCTCGCTGTCTCTCTCTCTGTCAAAAAATAAATCTTAAAAAAAAAAGTTAATTCAAAACACAGATTTAAAATAAAAAAGTTATTTTTATGGTAAAACATTTATTATGTATTTTGGCATCTTTTCTAAAAGTAAGATGGAGTAATGTTGCTTGAGTTTCTTGAGTCACAAATGCAGATATGTGTATTTCTTGATCTGCAAAATGGCACAAACAATTCCATTTCAGGTGGATCTTTCAAGTACAAGTGAGATTTTATTCTTGTACTTGTTGAATAATTATGTGTCAGTCTTCTGCCGTATGTCAGAGACTGGTAGGTTCTGGGAGTATGTGGAGATGAATGTGAAAGCTTGTTCTCAAAAAATTAATAACATTTGACCCTTGAACAACATGGTGCTGACCCTTGTGCAGTTGAAAATCTGCATATAACTTTTGACTTCCCAAAAACTTAACTACTGATAGCTTCCTGTTGGTTGGATACCTTATTATCTCCATTCAGTAAGACAGTTCTGAACAGTTAATGAACAGTTAATTAACATACTTTGTGTGTTATATATATTATGTACTGTATTCTTACAATAAAGTAAGCTAGATAAAAGAAAATGTTATTAAGAAAATTATAAGGAAGAGAAAATACATTTACAGTATGGTAGTTTATGTATGGAAAAAACTGCATATTAGTGGACTCGCACAGTTCAGACCCATGAAGGGTTTGTTCAAGGGTCAGCTGTAGTTTAATTGGTGACACAGAGAAACAATTGAGAGTGGTAAGAGATAGAAGAGGATTAAGCATGGGGTGATACTGTACACAAATGAGGAATAGTTAATCTAGCCTATGAAGTATTTGAGGACAATAATTAGAAATTAAAAGAATAAGCAGAAGTTAGGTTGACCGTGAAGAGCTAGGAAGACAGGAGGAACAGAGAGATAGCAAGACCAGTAAAGAATTTTTAATTCCAGGGTAGGGTACAAAACTGGAGACTGGGAAGCTAATTTGAAGTGTTTCAGTTACTCAATTGAGAATAGTGCTTGTGGGCGCCGAGGTGGCTCAGTTAAGCGTCTGCCTTCGGCTCGGGTCATGTGAGATTGAGCCTCGCATCGGGCTCCCTGCTCGGCGGGAAGCCTGCTTCTCCCTCTCCCACTCCCCCTGCTTGTGTTCCCCCTCTCGCTGTGTCTCTCTCTCTCTGTCAAATAAATAAATAAAATCTTAAAAAAAAAAAAGAACAGCAGCTTGTACTCAGGTGTTGGTAATGTGGATAAAGAGGACAAGACGACAGAATACTAAATATAAGAGTTTAGCAGTGGCTAGATATAACATTCACATACAGAAGTAGGTTGCATTTCTTTCTATCAGCAGACTACCAGAAAACGAGGACATCATTAATAATAGTATCAAGAATGTCATGATTTGAAGAATCAGTGTAACAAGGAATTACAAGCCTATATAAGGAAAATTATAAAACTTTAGAAGAAAAGTTAAGGAAGATTGATTTTAAATAAATGGAGAGATAGACCATAGTTGTGGAAAATAATACCTAATATCATAAAAACATCAATTTTCCCCATATTGATTTGTAGGTTCACTGCAATTCCAATATAAATTACAACACGGTTATTCACAGTGCAATGGTGGGTTGAAAATGTTATAGAGAAAAGTAAAGGCTAAGAAGTAGGGCCCACCCTAAAGGTGGTGAGCAGGAAAGAGGGATTTACCCTGGAAGATACTGAGACTTATTATAATAATTGAGAGTATGATATTAGCATAGGATGAACAAGTTGACCAGAGGAATGAAATTGAGCGCTCAGAAAAAGACCGATACATGTGTGAAACTTTGTTACATAGGAGAGGTAGAAGCTCAGATCAGTGAGGAAAAGTAGAGATCATTGAATAATTGGAGCCAGAAAAAAATGTCCATTTGGAAAAAAATGAAGTTGGGTCTCCATCTTATCTTATATTTAAAACAAAACAAAACTCCAGGTATCTTAAAAGTTTTAAATGTCTAAAATGAAAAATGTGAAATGCTTAGTGGAAAAAGTAGGTGATTTTCCTTCTAGCTGTGATGGAGTAACTGCTATCCAAGTAGACCTCCTGTAAAAATATGAAGACTGAACTGAACAAAATATTTGAAACAATTATTTTCAAAACATTGGACAACAGGCAGTGAAGGATTGAGATCCCTGAGAGGGTAGCAATAAGTCTCTCTGTGATTTCCCTGATTTTTTTGACTGGAGGCAAAATTTTAGGTGTGGCACAGGGGAAGGGGATCTCAAGAAAAGTGAGAAGTACATAGCAATTCTGCTGAGTTGAAGAGACAGGTCAAAGTTTAGGAAGGATGAGGTATCTGGTCTTAGGACAGAGTACCTGAGAAGAGAGGACTACACTGGGGAAAAAGCTCCAGATATCTGGACAGGGGTTACCCTGAGTCTTAGCTGTAAACTAACCTGTGTGTGCACAGGGTGAGGGTTGTATTAGACAATTACCAGGAAGGACAAACTATTGGAAAGTATATAAATTGAACAACTGTAAGAAATTACACTTGGTAGAGATCCCAAGCCATGGTAAGTTGACCTCACTCTAAAGATTACTTCAAACCTGCCTTTATTAAGCTGAAAAATCAAGCTTGAAAAAGATTAAAGTGATTTTCAAGTAAATTAATTGCCTGTCAGAATAAAGCTCAATAATATTTGTTAAAGGAGGACACGGAATGCAGATATTTAACAGTGTAAACATTCATAACGTCTAGCATTCAAAAAACATTACTAGATGACAAAAAGATGAAAAATGTGATCTATAGTCAGGAGAAGAAAACACCCAGATAGAAACAGAACCAGAAATTACAGGCATTAGCACTCAAGGACTTTAAAGCAACTATTACTAGTATGTTCAAAGAATTACAGAAAAACATGAAAACAGAGAAATTATAATAAAGAACCAAATGTAACTTACAGAACTGTGAAAGGTACATTTTCAGAATTGAAAAATTTAATGGATGGACTTAAGAGCAAATCAGTTATTGCAGAAGCTAACATAAGAAAACATGAATAAAGGACAATAAAACGATAGAAATAACCCAAATCTAAGCACAGAGAGAAAATAATTGGGAGTTCAAGGAGGGAATGTAGAACAAAGATTTGAAAAAATAATATTTCCAGAATTTTAAGATACGACAAAAAGCCTAAGAAGCTCAGTGAAACTAAGGCAGGATAAACACAAAATCATACCAGGACACATTAAAATCAAGTTACTGGAAATCACTAGAAATAAGAGGGGTGCCTGGCTGGCTCAGCCAGTGGATAATGTGACTCTTGATTTCAGGGTTGAGTTCAAGCCCCACATTGAGGGTAGAGGTTACTTAAAAATAAAATCCTTCAAAAAAAACAAAACAAAAAAACAGCCATAGAAAGGAAGATATGTTTACATACAGGGAACAAATTTAAGAAAAACTGCTGCCTCCCCATCACACATTGCGAACTGAAGACATACATGGAATGACATCTTTAAAGTGTTAAAAGAAAAACTGTCAAACTAGGATTCTTTATTCTGTGAAGATAATACTAAAATATGAGAGCAAATTAAAGATCTTTTTTAGACAAAGCTGGGAGAATTTGCCTCTAGGAGATTTACATTGCAAGGAATGTTAAAGGATGTTTTTTCAGGTAGAAAAAGGATACCAGATGGAAATACAGATTTATACAAAGAAGTGAAGAGCATAAAATAGTAAATACGTAGGGGCACCTGGGTGGCACAGTCGGTTAAGCCTTTGATTCTTGGTTTTGGCTCAGGTGGGGATCTCAGGGTTGTGGGATCGAGCCCTGCATCAGCCTCCATGCTCTGTGTGGAGTCTGCTTGTGACTCTCTCTCCATCTGTCTTCCCCATTTACCCCCCTGCCACATGCACGCCCTCTCTCTCTTTCAAAAATAACTAAATCTTTAAAAAGATATTAAATACATAGGTAGAATATAAAGGACATTTTTATCATTTAAATATTTTCTTTAAGAGATAATTAAAATAGTAATGTAAAATGTGTCTATAATATATGAAGAATCAAAATTTATGATAATGGCACGAAAGATAGGAGGGAAAGTGGAAGTATATTGTTGTTTCTTACACTCTACAAGAAGTGGTATAATTTTGACAGGTAGACTCTGCTATTAAAAAGTTGGGTGTTGGAAACCTTAGTGCAGAGCTCAGCAACTTACAGCCTGTGGACCAGCTGCTTGTTTTTG